CAATGACGATAGTAATAGCGATAATAACGGCGATCGAAAAACGACAACATGAAAGTCTCATAAACTACGGCCATTAGCATAAACTCCAATAACAATAACCATCATATGAATGTATGTTTCCCATTTTAACACAATTAGGTGTTACACGCCCATAAATTAGCATATTACCAAAAAAAAAAAGCTGCTGCCATTGGCCCTATTGAAACGTTTTCTGTTGAATCAACCTCCGGATAGCTCTTAGCCGATTCAAATAGACGAGTTATGTCAGGGTGACTCTTTTTCCATCTCCTTTTTCTCTCCTGTTGTCCTAACCGGCTACATTTGATCCTTCCAGCCGTTTGAAGCAATCCAAATCTACACAGGCGGACGCTCAATCATTGCTTTCGTTGCTGCTACTGTTGAATCGCGCCTATTGAACCTATCGCGGCTTTCCTGCATCGTTTCAAAATTGTACCGCCGCGCGCCCGGATACCGCTGCTGGTTCAGCTGTGATGCTCGCCCTGCTAAACGACAGTCAGTGGGTGATACCAAATGAAACTATCGATTGACGATGAATCGCTACTCAAACGAACCCGCAACAGCTGCAGCCGCGGCTGTTGCCTCCGAAGTTCAAGTAGGCTGTGTCCCGCAATTGTGCACATCGGGTATTCAGACCTTTCGGTTTCTTCTTTCAACTGTTCTCGTTTGGGCATGCACTCGCCTTCGGTTTCGTTCGATACTACCGCAACGAATTGTTATTAACATGGACACACAAATCTACGGATAGAGAGACACGATATTCAAACACACATATACACGTGCATGCACGCACATACAGACGGATCTATACTCGTACAGTAGTAACAATAAATATTCTCAGGTACCCGTCGATGACGCACGTCACCGCCCTGCCGCTAGTCTCGATATTGGGCAATTATTATTACGCAGTAGGCTCGCCTCTTCGAAACAGCCTTTCGCCGGCTGCTTTTGGGAACCGGTACAATTCAAAATATTATTGTCGTTTTACCTTTTTGCGTTGACTCCCTTCTCGGCCTGTTCATAGAAACAAAAACAATGTTGGAACCAGCGTAGCCGTTCATCGATCGGTAAAAAACACGTGGAGGTACGTGCATAGGAACAAATAAAATTCGGCCAGTTAGGGAAATTTGGTTGATTTCGACATTTGTTGGGAATTGAGCTTAACGACGACCTAGATGTAGATGAAGCAACCCGGAGGCGACGTGCGGAATAAAATTGAAAGTGCTTCGCATGTTATACTTGACTGGGACATTGGCTCCGCTTCCTGGATCCCTGCCTATACTGGGGAAGTTTTGCAATATAGTTTTTCTTCAGTGCTTTTAATAATATATCCCAACAGCGGACTATAGAAACTAGGTTGTGGCAGAGGAATTCAGCTGACTGTTTTGGTCAGTGCAGTAGCGTCTGCGGTGGAGGCGTTCAACAAAACTTCAGAGGTTTCAGTTTCTTAAATGTGATATAATTAATGTCTACATATGAACCGATGGATTTTTTTATTGTGTGACCAATTTTTCGTATCACGAATTTGATATCCTAGTATGTACACTGTGTATGGTAGCATTATATCGAGGACTGCTAACCTAAAGAGATAATGCGATTTTGATTCATACAAATGACGAATATTCCGGTATACACACAGCCTATGTCCAATTCATCCACTCATGCCATACACGTAACAGCTATCCAAAACATAATCACGATAAATGTACTTGACGAACGCTGATAGTTTCCCTCATTTTCCTAAAAGTGGGTTTTTTCCACAACACTTTTATAGTTGTGTACTACCCATTCTACGGCCGGGTGTGGACACATACTTAAACAAAAACAGAAACCCTCATCTCTTTGTTTTTGGCACGAAGGCTTCTTCAATAGCTAAACAAAGAATCGGCACGAGCCACAGAGCTTAATTCCGATCCGTTCTTGCCAAAGGGAAACGTGTAGAAGCCGTTGAATAAAGGCAGGTGCCCTTTCCACAGGCGCGCCTCAACGTGCCATTTCACTTCGAGGATTTTCTTATCATTGCATGAGAGCAGATAGACCAAGCGGCAAAACGCTGCCCGGTAGAAGATAATTTTAGGGTAACCAATTTTTATCATCATCACGATCCTCAATGCCATATCATTGTCTCAACTTTCTTTGCAGCTCTATAGATGGGGGCTTATCGAAGCCTAGAGCACTGATTGATTCACCTTTACCACCGGGTACCGGCAGCTTCGTCGTGGCCATAGTTCGAAGTCTTTTATTCAGCGACTTAAGTTTCACTTCGTAGTCCATTGTTGACGTCCGGCCTATTATGAGCTGCATCCGATGAAACTGCGATTGGA